AATAGAGGTACGTGGTCGATTCATACATAATCGGCACAATAAAACACTTGCTAAAATAAAAAACAAATAATACAAGATCTACTAAGGAGCAGGATACGTTTGGTCAGCTCCGATGCTTATTTGGCATCTGGCACTGCACTGAGCTAGACCAGGACGGTGATGGGCCCAGAAACATTGGACGAGGAGGGAACTGCGGCAGCCTGACTCGATGCACCCAAGTCGACCTCCAGAGCACCTAAGCAGCAATGGACAACCGGAGGATAGGTACATCGCCCGACTTGGGAAGGTCAAAGAGGGACTTCAAGAGTTGGGACTTTTTCAGGGTCCGCTCAAGGCTTTTTCGACCACTGTGCGTGTTCGTGAGGAAAGGTGGCATCGCCCTCGAAGCTGGCTGAAACACTGGGTATGGCATCCCAGATAACCCCATGGTCGATAGTGCAACCAAAATCTAGAGCCACAATCTACTTATCGGCCTACTCCATGCTGGTCGTATAAAAGCTCATATCCATGGCCGAAGCCGACTTCAAGAACGTGGTGGTTTCAGATAATCATTAATCAACTGCTCACGGTACTCCTTCAGGAAAGTTTGGCCGATGTGAGATTTTCAGAGCGCCTGTCTGGCCTGCCCACCGCCGCGATGGCTACTACCTCAACCTCTGCCTTATGTTGAACACCCACAAGCTCGAGCGCATAGTCCCTCGCTTTCAGGTCATGTTTGTGACGAAGCTGTTTTTCTTGACCTACTGGATCAACAAGTGGCGTCATTGGAGCAATCTAAAGTCTCCTCGAGCAAAGGCACCACGGAGACGAGATCCTACCCGGACAAAGAAAGATTTAATAAAAGGCGGATACAATAGATCGAGGAAGGTGTGAGTCAAAAAGTGTACTTGGGTCATGGCGCGAATGGCATACTCTCCTTGTGCCCTGCGATCGGTACCTCAGCGGTGGGTGTCCTCGATGGGCATGGAGTCCATGAAATAGGATACCATCTCCTTCGTCACAGCAGAAACAAGCGAACGACGAGGGCAGACCTCAGAGCCCTTTATCTCAAGGCCCTTGACCTCGGTGTGAGGTCGTTTGCTTGATGGGTCAATGAGCTCTGAAGAAGGATTTTTCTGACTGGATTCGGCCATCTCGGAGTGCGACTATTTTTTGGAGTGGCAGTCAACGTTTTTCTCCAGTCGATCAGGCTGATGGTCGAGCTGTTTCTCGGATCGCGGATCGGTCAGAGAAGGGGAGGGGCATTTTGCTTGACGTGAACAAAAGTTTTTTGGACCTCCACGTAGGTGTCCTTTCGGGAGGACATTTTTTTTGGTCATTTCGACCTCCGCAGAGGTGTCCTTCTGAGATGACTTTTTTTTCCAGTGGAGCCTGTTCTTTTGCTGATGGTTGGTCTATTCGAAAATTCCTCTACAATAAATCAAGAGAGAAAGTTAATTGCAGTGCGAAATAAACAAATATCGATACTCTCAGATAAAATGGTTGAAAGTATACCGAGCTTAGCAGCCTCGTGAACTCAAAGGCTCTCGTGCTTTTTCTCGGGGGGTGGAGGTTTTGGTCAGAGTGTGAGTAAATGACTATAATACAAAATCCTCTTACTATTGAGGCATGACTCTGAGGCGATCTTGTTCACATTCTAGGAGGCGATGCGTCGATCGAAAAATGGGTTGCTCGAAGGACTTTGGGTTTCAAAAGGAGAGGCTACAAGCCAAGGGGTCGAGTCTCAGGGGAATGGAGTATCAGGCTGAACATATGCAAATTTTGTTTCCATTTCAGAATGTTTGATGGGATTCGGACAAAAAATGGGCACCACTTCGACTCTTTAGGTAGAGTTCGCCCTTCTGGTTCATGGCTATAAACGAATAAAATAAAAACTCAAGGTCGACTCGACCAAGACGGACGATGGAAAGAACTAAAATAACGGTCATGTGGCGGATGTTGTTAGGAGGGAGCGGGTTCAGCGACAAGCCAAAAATGACGCATAGGTCGAAAAGAGCTTCGCAGAGGGGGAAGCGGAGGCCTAAGAGAAATTAACTTCGAAAAAAGGTGCAACAACCTTCAGAAGGATGATCATAAGTGTCCAAATCTTTGGTAGCATAAAAATCCCAACCCGAAGGGTGGCCGTTGGTGTCAATATCGTCGAAAACCCAACTAGTGTTTCTCTCATGGGTACACGAGATCGAAGAGGATATGAGAGTCAGGAGGAGAAGGTTGGTGGCTAGAGAAAGGGCCGGGGTGGCTTGGTGCTGAGGTCGAAGGGGGAACATGAGGGGAAAAAGACTCTGGGTCTGGTCAAAAAATCTCATCAACTTCGTCCTCTTTCTCCTCGGGTTCATCGTATAGGCGAATGGACGACGGGGGCGGCGGCCAGGTTTAGGTTGAAGAACCTCATCAACATCCTCATTGGGTGAGTTTGGAACTGGAATGACATGTAGAAGGATGGAAAGAGGAGTAGGCTGCAGAATCTCGTCGATGGAGGAGGTCAGAGAATAAGGTTGAGGTCGCGAAATCGAGGAGGAAGAAGGAGAGGTCATATCACGATCGGAGTAGCGATCGTTTTCGCGGGAAGTGCCAGAATATGGAAAAAGAAAAAATCAAAAAATCAAAAACAAAAAAGAAGAAGAAAGAGGAAGAATATAGGGTTTTGGCGGGGCGAAGAGGAGTCGGGAGAAAGGAGCACTGTTGGTGAGTTCGAGCAGAAAATCAAAGCGAGATAGTAAAATTGTAATTGAAACATGCAAAATCGAAGATAGAAAGACTTACTCATCATTAAAGGTTGATCGGGCCGCTGGAAAAACTCGAAAAACATTCGAACTGGTCGCCAGAGAAGAAGAGAACTTGATTGCAGAAAATATGCAAATAAAAGCACAATTATAGTTGAGAGACTCGTGAAGGTGGAAAACCAGTGAAAGTAGATGATAGGGGTATTTATAAGAGAATGAGCGCGAGGTAATTCAACCCTGACCGTTGATTGCAATCAGGACCAGCTACCAGGATTGAACAAGTGCGTTGAGGGGTCTGTCAATTGACGACCGTCGAATGGCAAAGGCAATTAAGGGTGAAGATCTAGGGAGGCGAAGTTGACGGGACGTCGCCGTTGAATTGAAGCGACCCTAACGACTTGAATCTATGGGTCTAGGTGAAGGGCCAATAAGGCCAACCGTCAGATTAAAGACAAATTTGACAGTTACTATTAAATAATGCATTTAATGGGAACGTTGTGCGAGACAGCACGATTCACAGTGCGGTGACATCATCAAGGCATGTGATTGGACGGGCCTGACAAGAAAACAGATTTCACGGGCCAGAAACTTGAAATTTTAATGAAGACCTTAGAGGGACGAGATCGAAAAACGTGGAATAAAAAAGCAAGTCGGTCGAGAACGTATTAGGAGAAGGATCGTAAGTAGACAGGTCGAAAATCTAAAGTTGAAACCTGCCAGGCGAAGGCAAGGAAAAACACCTACTCTTAGATCGAGTTATCCCAATTCGACCAGAGTGGAGTGGACTAGATGATACAGGATACCATACCTAAGGAAATAAACCGGTCGACCCAGCCGAGTGAACCGCCTGATCGACCAGAACTGCAGCAGGATCCGGTGGTCGATCATCACCAATACAAGCCTAAGAGCCTTAGATTTGGAAGACAACATAAGAGGTACAGGACAACGACAACAGGTTGAATTAGGGTCCTCAGATGGTCTGACGGAGACTCAACCTGTGGGTATGATTGGTCGTGTGATCGACCAAAAAGTACGACGCTAGGATTAAGAACAATTAGTACTCTACCTCAGCAGACCTCGGGCTGGTCGCACCATTAGATGGTCTAATATGAAAGAAAGGAATCTTACGGTAATTAATGCTACACATGGGTCAAGACACGTGGCATCACCTGACAGGTCCGCGCCTCATAACCGTCTCTAACACTCCGAGTAGTGCGGGTTGTACTATCGGGAAGCTCGGACAGCTAGCTCACCACATTCGGGCAGCCTTCTAGAAGTAGATACTTCACCTCTATAAATAGGGGTGAGACTTGTGATTTTTGTGATTTTAACCATTACATTATATATACTCTATATTTTCTGCAACTCATCTTCTGCACATACTCATTTTGACATCGAAGGCTCGACGAAGGAGCTCATGAGCAGTCTGATCCCAACCGGTCAGAAGTCTTTTACTTACCACTCCCAAAATAGATCTTTACACAAGCAAGCATGTGGTATCATACACGCCAATTGTGAGAAACATATGACAACACATTATATTAGCAGGGCCGATGTCTTAATATGTGCCTAGAAAATGGGCCAAATAGTAGACCTATAAATAAGGTCTGAGAGTCCATTTGCTGGGGGACTTTGAGATTTCACAATTATAAGAGTAATTAAACTCTCAAAAGTAAATTACCAAACTGAAATTTCGCTTTTTACCGAATACATTTATTATTCAGTTATTTAATTATCTCACACACTTATTTAGTTAATCTCATTGTTACAATCCATATAGCTATATCAGTTGGTAGTTATAAATATTAATCAAGAATAAATTTTATAGAAAATATGTAGTAATGTTTAATTTTCTAATTAGAATTTACATTGATAAAATTGAGAAGTGAAATAATGAAAATAAGATAATCCAATAGGTGGATGAGGGAAAAAAATAAAAATCAGATGAATCCAAGTGTATCTTCTTTAGTTGGTGGATGAAAAATGGACTTCGCATCCACTCTAGTTTTTGCATTGCTTTAAACTTGTTAATCCTTTCTCTTAGTTCTACCAGAAAATTTTATTAGATAATCATCTCCCTTTACAATTGGAACCACCTGTCGATTTTGAATTATGTAGGTATATTAAGATCCAGCACTGAATCGCTGGCGCTCAAAATAGCATCTGGATGGAAGTTATCTACTTCTTTGAATATTCCAAGCTTAAACTTAGGTATCCCATATTATAATTTGTACGATATTTTCATAATTGAAAATTACTGTTTGTTGAGTCCTTCAATTGTTTAAATCGGAGAAATCTCTCGAGAAATTAAATCAAGTCCAATGTTAGCAGACCAAAAAATTACACAAATGAGAAATAATCTCACATATAACACAATGTCATTAAAAGTTCGGTTGATTGAAGAATAATTAAAAATGAAAAAATTTCTGGATTAAATCGTCAATATATCCAAAGAACCGACACCCAACTAATGGAGACATGAAGAGCCTGCAAATTGCATACTAATACTATACTGCAGATGAGTCAGAGACACTACCATCACCACTAATCCTCGCCATCTCCATTCTCTAGGCCCTCTTTTGCTGCTGCCATCAGTTCATCAAAGTTTGCAGTTTTGCCAAGTACGATCTCAATCTGCATAATATAAATAAATAAATCGACATTGTAAGACACTATTGCATCAAATTGTCTAGCTTGTGGGACAACTCATGCGAACATAGACACAAATCCACTGTTTTCTTCAGCGGTTAATTGGTTTTCAACAAATTGAAGCAAACCAAATGAGCACAAAAAGTGATTTGAAATTTCTCTATCTGTTGAACTTATTATCCAATCCTTGACACAATCTCCAACTAAAATGGAAACGCAAGTGGAGTTTTGCGAATGTAAATTGGACATTACCTTGGCTTTTTGGACAGTTCTTCCTCTTGAGTCATCCCTTATCTCCACAGTAGATGTCGTAATTCCTACATATTTCAAATGGAGAAATACTTAGCCTATTTGATTAACTTAATGTCCAGAACTCTGAACCATGCATTGTATTCATATGGTAATCAAACAAGAGATGAACTGAAGTGTGGGATCAAAATTACATCTTGCAAAACAGTGATGTGATACCAAGCATAATTTCTTTATCTCTACCTTTCTTCTTACTATTAACTTCTAAAGCCACATCTGAATTGAAAGGAAACCATGAAAGATTACTGAACAGAACAAAACTATATCAATTCAGCTCAGGGAAATAGCCAAGCAGAATTTAGGTTAGATATGGTATCACCCAGTTATACCAAGAAAAGCCCACTAGACCACGAGTTTTCTAATTTGTGTGAGGAACAAAGCAAATACAATGGCGAACGAAGCAGATCAAAAACTCACTCTTCTCAACAGCAAAGCCATTGTTCTTCAGAATTTCAGCAATCGAGACGACGGTTGAAATCGCTGCAATAACATGAGCAAAAATACGGCATAAGAAAATGGATATATGATCATTATGGACAAAATTCATTGCAAGAACAAATAACAATGTAGAAACAATCAGGATTATTTCACTCTTGAAGTGTACCCCATCACGCTGTATTATCATATGCAATTAACAGGAACTTTCTATCTCTTTCATATTACCATTGGGTTGGTCACAAGTCACAGCAAACCAACTATAAAAAAGAGATCCAGTAAAATTTACCATGAACTAAGCAAACTAGTTTATGTTATGTATGTACAAGAAACAACTCAGACAAATCGGCAAAAAAACATGAACAGAAACTGCTAAAGGAGGGCTTCATGTTACTTTACTCCAACAGCTAACGCCAACGTCCCCCTTCACTCACAAAGGAAACTATTAAAAGTTAAAACAGTCTAAACAAGAAGCCTCTTCTTTGGTCTGAGGGGAGATACTGAAACAATGTCGCCCATTCATCAAGCTCACAGTACATAGCTCATCGATGAAACTCAAATTGCCTAAAACTAACAATTTGCAAATAAAAACAAAATCTGCAAATCTACCCACAATTACTTCATTGTTGTTAATAACCCCATCAAAATACAAACCAAAGGCAGAAGCAGCACAGAAGGTTCAGAGGCAGTAATAAGAAATTACCCATTCCGAGTGCTGAAAGCTCGACCTCATCGTTGTTTTCCATGTACCTCTGCAATCACATAAACTCAAATCGATAAAAGTACCAAAATAAAACTCGAATTCGGAAAAACTGAAAAATCGGGAAAATCAATGCCTTTGTGAGATTAACGTAGAAGAAAAGCGGCCTCTTTGTATTGGAGACTTGGATACGGTTTTTCTTCTGGGTTTCCGCAATTTTCATCTTGTTCACTCCGTCAGTAATTTCCTCCATGTTGACAAATATTCAGAATCGTACGTGTGTTCAAACACCTCGAAACGAAATTGTTCGCTCTTTCTGATACAAGGTTTTTCAGAGAGCTAGGGTTTTTACTTGGGATTTGGGGATTCAGTCTTTTATAAGCCGTAGTCGAAGCGCGGGTTAGGATTTTGTTCGGGGACGGAAAAAAAATGTCATGGGGCGTTGGCGGCTACTTCAATTTCTTTAGCCAAAATTGCAAATATTGTTTAGGCAAAACTAGTGCGTGGTCCATGCGATGCACGGGAACAATATTTACAATTGTATTATAAATTTAATATATAAATAACATTAATTATAATTTATCCATTGTTTTTAAATTAAACTGGTTTGAACATAGTCCGACCGGATGGACTAAGAATCGGTTTATATCAGTCTAGTTTGCTTGAATAAAATAATTACTCTAGAATCCGTCAACACCAGTCGGTTGGACTGGTAGGATCAACACGATTTTCTAAATAAATTTTGTTATATTTAAAATTATTTTAAATAAAATTTCATATTTAAATAAAATAGAGATTTATAAATTATTTATCAGTTAGTTTAAACATTTGAATATATAATATTTAAATTTATTACAAAAGTACTATATATATATATATATATTAACATATTTATATATTAAAATCTGAATAAACCACAAATGATTTAATAAACTAGCTTGATCGTTTCAATGACGGTCCAGTTCTGAAAACTTTATATTTACTGTACATTAATAAATATTATAATAAAATATTATTTAATTCACATAAATATTAATAAAATGATGTATTATTATTCTTAAATCATTAAACATGTTGTCATAAAAGAATTGTTAATACGATTATTTGAAATTTGGACTACATCACATTCGCGTAATAACATATTTTCAATATAAAATTTGTATTTAGGTTCAATAATCGATTTGGTGTGGTCGAACTGATACATAACTTAGTCACCTGGGACCAACCAAGTTGTGTCAAATTTTTTTACTATTTTAAATATCATCTAAAAGTAATTCAATCAACATGGGCAGTACCCTAATTCAATCACCCGATTGATCCGAAGAAATTTTCTTATTTTCTTTAAATATATTTAATTTATGAAATAAAAATATTTTATGATTCATATAATAAATGTCTACACCAAATGAAGTATATTAATATTATAAATTATATATCTAAAGATGAATTAATTATTTTTACTTTATGCATATTAATAAAATATAAACATAGTAATTTTCAAAAAATTAAGATTAATTGATTAATTATGGAATTTAAAGAATAAAAATAAAAACATACACACTTAATAAATCTTAGCCGGATTTTTTAAATAATAAAATGAACTAAAGCCCGAAATTTAAGGAGCATTTAATGATGTATGATTTTCAAAGAAAAAAAAATAAGAAAAGTAATAAAACTTACTATATATAGGCTGCATTAAATTTTGACCAATTTTTTTGCTACTATTTTTGGTAAATGGTAACTCTATTATATATATATATATAGATATAGATATTTTATTTCTAATGTAACTAGTATTCTTTATTACTTACATATAGATGTAGCGCTCATGATAGTTCGGTGAATCGACCTAAGTAGCTCAGGGGTTACGATTCCAAGGAGCTTCAGCTCAGTGTCAGGGTTCCATCTTGTCAGGAAGCTCGGTGGAGTAGCTCAAGGTATGAGTCGACCTAAATGAAGGAACGAGGAATCGAACTCCTCGTGGATCTCGAGGATGAGTGATTGGAACAACCGTGAGGTCGTACAAGCGAAGGTCGTAGTTTTGACTTGGTGAGGGCATGTTGCGGATGGGTCGTGGGATCGCTGTGATGACCTAAGGACTTAAGAGCAGAACAGGAAAGGGAACTGAATCTTGGTAAGTATGGTAAGTGTATCTCTCTAACAGAGCCGGTCCTGAATATGTTTAGGCCCTGGGCCAAATGTAAAAACAATGCCCTAATTATTTTTTTTTCTAACAAATAACGTTAGAAATTATATAATACCAACAACGATATTTTTTTCCTAAAAAATGACATAACTTATATAATCTCAAATATAAAATACAACTTCATGATGAAAGCTAACAACAATATGCAAAGTAAGATGCAATAGAAAGCAAAGTAAGATGCAATATAGATACAACTTCACGAGTGTTTTCACAAATGCAATAACCCAAGAAAAAATTTAGATGCATCAACAAAGTTTATATATAAAAAAAATTAAGGGCAGTCAATCACTTAAAAAGGCTTATTCGGCCATTTGAAGCGACAAAATCATCATATATCTACAATCAAAATTTTCAGTAATATCATCTTTTATGCATAGATTTGTTAACACATTTTTATATTGGCTTATGGTTATTTTAGTGTATAATTTGCACTTCAATAGACTATTTAGTGACAATTTGCATTTCAATTGGAGTTTATATAATTTACTAGATATCAAATATTTTTTATGTGCATGAAAGATCTTCTATATACTATAGCTATGTTTGGATTATAAAACCAATATCACTCTTAGAAAAACAACTTATAAGATGGTGAATCATACAAAACAACAAATCAACCCTAAAAATGTTACAAAATAAATTCTAAATAAATATTAAACTTATTTAAATATTTTTAAAACAAACCTTGGATAAATCTTAAATCCTATTTGTAGTATTTTTAGTTAACAACATTCAATGAAAAATTAATTATAAAAATCCGCCATCAAATAATTTATTTTTTCACATAAATAAAATAAGTAGGCATAAAAAGAATATAATAATAATAATAATACAAAATAGATGAAGTTGAAAGAGGTGTTGGAACGTGACTATGATTTGTGTGGAAGTGCAAATGTGTGTGACAGTGTGAAAGATGTTACTCAATAAGAAAGAGAAAAAGTAATTTATGAAAAGAATGTGAAAAGACATTCATGATGTAAGAGATGTAGACAATAAAATATTTGTCAAATGCTTTAGTTTCTCTCTCATACAATATTAACTTTATTAGAAGTTAAATATTAGATTTTAAAATTTAAAAAGCACGTCTATGGGTTGGTGCCACTAGACCCTGACTGAGATATTGAAAGCACGTATATGGGTATTTGGGCTGGTGCCCCTGGCTGAGATGGGCCCTGGGCCGTCGCCCAGTTTGCCTTGGGCCAGGGCCGGCCCTGCTCTCTAAGGTGTCTAAGATCTTAAAGACATGTCATACTAGAAAACGAGATATGGTAGGATCTATTTTCTAGTAATGAGGTTTCTTAGGGCAAGAAGCTAATCGCCGTATAAAAGGGGTTATTATATTCTATTTTAAGTTCACGTATATTACGGCCTATCATACAATATTTTTCATATCCACGAGCGAGATCTGATTTGAACGTCAGAGCTTTTTTACCGGGACCCCTCCTCGGCGTGATTTTCAGGTCACCGATACTCTAGGAGAGAAGTGATTCGTGGTTGTACCGGTCTAAATCCGGATTCTAGGCAATTTGCATATTAAATTGACGTCATCTGTGGGAAAAAGTCTTTGTTGTGGCAAGGACTTGGTTTTTCTCATAAAATTATTGAAACCTAGCGATCATGGCAAGAGACAATTCGAGGAATAATTTGGGGACAGATATGGATGAGACCTGGGCTTCACATATCCCCATGGGAAGGGGACCACCTCCTGGTTGGTCGAAGGATACAACCGCTCAGGTCACGCGAAGAGCGAGCTTGTTGGCCTGCACACGAACTTAACGCCAACAATTGCCCGGTGGTACGACGTATCACGAGGCAAGATTCATTAGTACTGTAGTGCCCCCATTCGATTATGGAATTTTTCAGATATTTTATTGGCATAATTTTTATTATTTGTATTTAATTTCCATGGTGATAATATTGTTTGAATTATTATATATATTATTGTGATATATATATGTTACCGGATTATTTAATTAATTCCCGATCTTTTGACGATAAACCGTGCCTTTTATTGATTGACGAACCTCGGAGAAAACCCGGCCCGTGCGCCCGGCCGCTCTCCCTCTTTTCCTTCTTGGGTGGCAAGATATTAAATCTATGTTTAAGTCGTTTGTTATTTTGCTTGATTTTTTTATTTTATTCTTTCAGATCATCCGGCCCTCGAGATTTCTTGTACATCAAACTTGATTTTATTTTGAAATTTAAAATATCCTAGCCTTATCATAAAAGATTTGGATTAGTGTGACCCTTCCCTCAATGCCACGATTTTGACCCAATCCCACCATTTGTGCTCTTAATTTGGTAAATGAATAATTTTGATTTCCCTTCCAAATCCTTGTATTTGACACGCATAAATCTCTCCTCTCTACAGCAAAACTCTGATCATTTCTCTCGTTCCTCTTTTGCTGCAACACCTTCAATTTTGAGTTCGTTAAAGTGTAAGAACCAAACAGAAATTCATGCGAATCAATTCAAACGCATTTAAAATTCAAGCAGACCAAAAGAATTCGCAAATCAATCAGATGAACCCGATAAAATCGACCCCGACGCTCGGTCACCGATTCAGGCATTCATCGAGCCCCTCCTGCTGGCGAACAACCTCCGAGCAGCCGCGCCCGAACATACGAGGAACCCCGATTAGCCTTTCACAGTCTTATCTCTAACAAACCGAGCCAGTCGTAGGTTGCCCGTCTATCGCCGATACCAACCAATCTCTGTCCTCGATCAGCATATTCCCGCCGGCGTTCTCGAACATCTCCGATAGCCTCAGGCAGACCCGCAAGCAGCCCGACGAAGTGCGGACAGCAAGCGCCATATCATCCGCTGACTCGAAGCACACCGTCGTCAGACGAATCGCTTCCCCTTGAGCTGACGGCGCCCAACCTCCACGGCCAGAGCCGATTGGGTTCCCGTCAGACCGCGTTCTCCAATAGAGCCGATTTTTGGCCCGCTCATCCAGTTAGTTGTCGACGCAATAAGAGCCGAATCCACAGTCGCCAAACCCGTCGATGTCTGCTCGTCCCCAGTCGTCACGCCGCTCCTCGCCG